TCACCATGTTGGCCAGGCTGGTCTCGAACTCCTGACCTCAGGTGATCCACCCGCCTCAGCCTCCCAAAGTGCTGGGATTACAGGCGTGAGCCACAATGCCCAACCTTGTTCTTTATAATCTATTTGGGTCATGTTTTTTCTGACTATCCAATTACTATGAGCACATACAGTGATAACTCAAATACGACAGAAACAGTAGCAGAGGCTGGGCACCCCGTGGCTCACGCCTGTAATCCCAGTACTTTTGGGAGGCCGAAGTGGGCAAATCACCTGAGCTCAGGAGTTCGAGACCAGCCTGGACAACATGGTGAAACCGTGTCTCTACTAAAAATAAAAAAATTAGCAAGGCATTGTGGCACACTCCTGTAATCCCAGCTACTTAGGAGGCTGAAGCAGAAGAATTGCTTGAATTCGGGAGGCGGAGGTTGCTGTGAGCTGAGATTTCACCGTTGTGTCATAGTCTGGGCTACAGAGCGAAACTCCATCTCAAAAAAAAAAGAAACAGTAGCAGAGAGTTTTAGTTCCTGAGGAGGGGCCCTTCCCTCAGCATGCTTTCTCTGTTATTTTGCCCTTGTCTTCTTACTCAAATGGAGCCACATCATTTTGCCACTTGGTTTTTTGTTTTGTTTTTGTTTTTGATTTTGTTTTTGAGGTGGAGTCTGGCTCTGTCGCCCAGGCTGGAGTGCAATGGTGCGATCTTGGCTCACTGCAAACTCCGCCTTCCGGGTTCATGCCATTCTCCTGCCTCAGCCTCCCTAGTAGCTGGGACTACAGGCGCCCGCCACCTCGCCCGGCTAATTTTTTGTATTTTTAGTAAAGGTGGTGTTTCACCGTGTTAGCCAGGATGGTCTCGATCTCCTGACCTCGTGATCTGCCCGCCTTGGCCTCCCAAAGTGCTGGGATTACAGATATGAGCCACTGCGCCCGGCCGCCACTTGTTTTTTTTTGTTTTTGTTTTTTTGTTTTTTATTTTCGGTTTTCTTTACTTAGCAACATATCTTGGGCAAATTTCCAACATCATTAAAATCATGGTAGGAAACAATTTCTGCTTAAACCAAGATGATAACAGATTATCGTTAGAGACAGATTTAGGAACTTTAAACACAGCTGTTTAGTTTCAGTTTCTCGTTGTCTTAAGAGCAGAGCTTTTGCTCTTTTTAAAATAATCTCTCTGCCTCACCCTCCCAACTCCTCACCCCCAGATTCCAGACCAGGCCCTGTCCTGTTCACATTCTTCCATTCTGAGCTCAGCAGGCCTCTGCCAGGCACCCCTTTCTCTTATAAGCAGAGCCTCACTATAGAAAATCAATGGTTTTTGGTCAGGCGCAGTGGCTCACACCTATAATCCCAGCAGTTTGGGAGGCCGAGGCAGGCGGATCACCTGAGGTCAGGAGTTCAAGACCAGCCTGGCCACCATGGCAGAACCCCGTCTCTACTAAAAATACAAAAGCTAGCCAGGCATGGTGGCAGGTGCCTGTAGTCCTGGCTACTCGGGAGGCCGAGGCAGGGAGAATTACTTGAACCTGGGAGGTGGAGGTTGCAGTGAGCCAAGATCACACCACTGCACTCCAGCCTGGGCGATAGAGTGAGACTTCCATTTCCAAAAAAATAAAAATAAAAGAAAGAGTTTTCTTCTTTGGTGTGTGTCAGCAGGACGTGAAGTTCATCCTCTCCTCATTGAAGCCTTCTGAATTATTATCAGCCGTGCCTGGTAATACTGGCTTGGCAGAAAGAAAACTGACCCGGGGTGGAGGGGCAGAACTAGACTCGACTCTTCTAGCTCGGTTCCACCTTTAACCAAGAGTCTCTTACTGGCCTGAGCCTGGTTTTCCTTCCTGTAAAATGGGGTGGGGGTGTAAGAAGCTTCGATTTAGGGGAATCACTAAGGTGCCTTGAGTTTGTTCATTTTCTAAGGGATATTCTGAAAGATATTTTTGCACCCTTTCCTCAGTTACAGAGAACTTCTTGCCCTGGATACCTTTTGGACTTATGTGCACTTGTTAATTAGTAGCATCAAGATGCTTTGTAACTGTGCATTGGTTTTTTCATCTGAGCACTTACCCAGTGCTTTACCCAGTAGGTATAATTAACTTCATTTTATAGGCAGGTGTCTGGGACAGATGTCACAGTCACCCTCAGAGTCTGGACCACCCAGTGGCAGCATGACTGGCAGCTTTCAGAAACAAATGTTATGTTTGCAGCTGTCCGTCAGTTATTTAAAATTACAGTCTCTTATTTGCACTGTTGACAGCAAAGCAAGGACTTGCTTTAAGTCTGTGTGGGCTCGGGATGTCCTGTGTTTTGTTTCCACCCCTTTCAGATAATGCTAAAGGAACCTCGCCTCCCTTCATGTATTCATTCAAAACCCTTGAGTTGCAGTGTACACTGGCCTCTCCTGCAGGAATGCACACAGTAGGAGAACTAGACCTGTCTGCACACTATTTCAGCCACAGGAGTGGGGTGCCAAGCAGAGGTTTGGATGAGGTGCTGCGAGCCCTGAGAGCCCTGGGGTTTGCAGCAGAGGGCGAGCTTGTCAGAGGCTGCTTCTCAGGGAGGTGGCATCTGGAGAGAACTGGAACTCCCCCAGCAAACATGGACAGGAAAGGAATTGGAGCAGAAAGAGAAGCACATGCATGCACCATGGAGGAACAGGGCTGGGACTGGGTTGTCAGGGCCAGTGCACCTGCAGCAGGGACAAGGGCAGGGTGGCACATGGGTCGCAGATGACCAAGGCCCCACCCTGCCAGGGGACCCCTCAGATCCTGCTTACCAATCTGTCAGATGTTACCTAACTTTGGATTGAATTGGAATTTTCAGAAAGTTGCCGTAGTAAAGTGCAGTTATCATTTGACTGATTTGGACTCTCACACATGCATTTTTTTTTTTTTTTGATAGGCCACAATTGCTGGTTTGGAAGGATCCGGTGATATTGTGTCTGTTTCGTGCACAGAAAATGAAATATTTTTCTTGAAAGGAGATAGGAACATTATAAGAATTTCAAGCAGGCCTGAAGGATTAACATCAATAGGTTTGTATTTATTATAAAATGTACCGTGTGTATGATGGGAAGTACTATACTCTGTTGTTTGTAATCGCAGTTAATAATTGATCAGACTTACCATTGAGCCAGGTATGGTGGCTCACACCTGTAATCCCAGCACTTTGGGAGGCCGAGGTGGGTGAATCACTTAAGCTCAGGAGTTCAAGACCAGCCTGGGCAATATGGTGAAACCCTGTCTACCAAAAATACAAAAAACTAGCCAGGTGGGGTGACGTGTGCCTGTGGTCCCAGCTACTCGGTAGGCTGAGGTGGGAGGATCACTTGAGCCTGGGAGGCGAATGTTGCTGTGAGCTAAGATCGTACCACTGCACTCCAGCCTGGGTGACAGAGTGAGACTCCGTCTCAAAAACAAAACCAAAAACTTACCATGATTTTGCTAAACTATTGCAACTTTATTTGAACATGGAGGATTTGGAGGGTTTCCTCTGATTCTTTTTTTTTTTTTTTGAGACGGAGTTTTACTCTTCTTGCCCAGGCTGGAGTGTAATGGCGCGATCTTGGCTCACCACAACCTCTGCCTCCCAGTTTCAAGCTATTCTCCTGCCTCAGCCTCCTGAGTAGCTGGGATTACAGGCATGCACCACTATGCCAGACTAATTTTGTGTTTTTAGTAGAGACAGTGTTTCTCCATGTTGGTCAGGCAGGTCTTGAACTCCTGACCTCAGGTAATCCGCCTACCTCAGCCTCCCAAAGTACTGGGATTACAGGAGTGAGCCACCGCGCCCGGCCACTCCTCTGATTGTTAAAAATAGTGTTTACACTACATTTCTTGAAAGTCACCTACTTTAGGGCTTACATCAGATAGTCTCACATTTAGTGGAGTTGCTTTCATGGTTGTGGAAGATGGGGAGATTGAGAAAGGAGGAAGGAAAAATCAGAAACCACTTTACTGATCCCTGATCTCCTTCTGAGACAGTATGTGGGATTAATGCTCCAAAAGACATAGATTTGCATGAGGTTTTAGAAGATTTAAATCCGTTATCTGGGACATACCGTTTACCCTTAACTCAGTTCTTCCTTGTAGGATTGATTTTTCTCTGTGCTTTTGACACTTTTTGGTAATTCATACAAGCCCAAATTTTAATGAGCAAAGAATCCTAATATGTGTCCTCGTGCGGACATCCACGCACTTTATATATTTGGGTTCCTCAGGGAACTTGTTCCTAATGGTGGCAGCAACAGCCATGTGGGCCCCATCACCCTCCTCCTCACTGCCATTACCTCTGAAGTCAGAGAGGGCAAATTGGGATGAAGATTCCAAAACATAATTTGTATAAGAAGCGAATAAGCTCTGACTCTTGAGTTTATGAGCCCCTCGGACAGTGTCATCAGAGGGGTAGTATGGCTTTCAGGAAGGGTGGTGACTTGGAGCCACCAGGCTAAGCTCTGGACCTCTGCTGCCCATAGAGCTTTCTGCAGTGATGAAGATGCTCTCATCTGCGCCGTCTGGTAGGCAGTCACTGTCCATGGGTGGCTGCTGAGTACTTGCAATGTGGCAAATGCAGCTGAGGGATGAATTTTACATTTTTAATTTTTTTTGAAACGGAGTCTTGCTCTGTCCACCAGGCTGGAGTGCAGTGTGGCGCAATCTCTGCTCACTGCAACCTCCACCTCCTGGGTTCAAGCGATTCTCCTGCCTCAGCCTCCTGAGTAGCTGGTATTACAGGTGCGCACCACCGCACCAGGCTAATTTTTTGTATTTTAGTAGAAATGGGGTTTCACCATGCACCATGTTGCCCAGGCTGGTCTCGAACTCCTGAGCTCAGGCAGTCCTCCCACCTTAGCCTCCCGAAGTGATGGGATTACAGGCATGAGCCACCATGCCCAGCTTAAGTGGTGCCCGCCACCACGCCCAGCTAATTTTTTTGTATTTTTAGTAGAGATGGGGTTTCACCATGTTAGCCAGGATGGTCTCAATCTCCTGACCTTGTGATCTGCCGACTCGGCCTCCCAAAGTGCTGGGATTACAGGCATGAGCCACTGAGCCCGGCCCAATTTTGATCAATTTGAGTTTCAATAGTTACAAGTAGCTGGTGGCTGCCTGTTGGACAGGGCAGCTCTAGGCAAGATCCGCCATTAACTTATGTAATCTTCAACAAGTCTCTTCAGAGGAGAGTCCTGCCCCTCCAGTCTCCAGCGTACACTCCATTGCCTACAGTCTCCCCCTAACACATGCCCTCAATAGAATGTCGGTGCTTCAAGGGCAGGAATTCCTATATCTCATGGAGTGCCATGTCCCAGCAGCTAGCCCTATGTCTGGCACACAGAGGATCCCTGATAAAGAGAGGATGGCGAAGGGATCAAAGTGGGCTGTGGTCTTGTGTTGAGGGTACTGTAGCTGGAACTGCTCTGGCCTGATGCCCTGTGGTGTCATGTTGCAGGAAGGATGAGTGCACTGCAGTAGTAAGCTCACTGGCCCTTGGTCTCGGGGACAGGGGACAGGGACTCACTTGCCTACTCTCACTCTGCTGTCTACTTGCCTTGATGCTGTGTGGTAATGGACTTCTCTGTCTTGAGTTTGTTCTAATGGAAAATTACCTTTACCTCTTTCAGAAAATTTAATTACAGCTACACATATATTTTCAAGTGCCCTTTGAGTAATCTTAAAGTATATTCAAGGCATAGTATAACTAAGCTGTTTTGTTATACACAGGCATCTCTCATTTATAAATACTTTGTAAATTAAAGTGAGAAATGCTGTATTCTTAGTATTTTTTCACTTTTTTTTTTGTTTTTTTTTGAGACAGGTTTCACTCCGTCATGCAGGCTGGAGTACAGTGGCATGATCTCAGCTCACTCCAACCTCCACGTCCCAGGCTCAAATGATTCTCCCACCTCAGCCTCCCAAGTGGCTGGAACTACAGGCATGCACCACCACACCCTGCTAATTTTTTGTATTGCGGTAGAGATGGGTTTTCGCCATGTCGCCCAGGCTGGTCTTGAACTCCTGAGCTCAAGTGATCTCCCCACCTCAGCCTCCCAAAGTGCTGAGATTATAGGTGTGAGCCCCCACTCCTAACCTTTCCTTACTATTGAGTTGCTTTAAAAAGACAGCTATGGCAAATTATTTTACTGATTTTAATATATGAGCTTCTTGAAGAACAAAAACTATTTCTGAGACTCATTTGTGTGATTCTTTTAGTTTTGCTGGTTTCTATGAATTTAGAATCTTTCAGTTCTTTAGCCGGCTGGCGCCTATGTGACAACTGGTATTTAGGGCTAGCAAACCTGGATAAGTGCACATCAGCTCTCTCTTGGATCACTAGTGGTAAAACCAGACTCTTCTTTCCTAGTGAGAGATGGTCTGGAGATATCTGGATGCTCAGAACGAGTCCACGTGCAGCAAGCAGAGAAGTTACCAGGGACCACAGTTTCTGAGACGAGGCTCAGAGGCTCTTCTGTGGCTAGCTCCGTGGCCAGTGAGCCAAGAAGCAGGAGCAGCTCGCTCAACTCCACCGACAGCAGCTCCGGGCTCCTGCCCCCTGGGCTCCAGGCCGCCCCTGAGCTGGGCAAAGGCAACCAGCCCCCCTCACAGAGATTCAACGCCATCAGCTCAGAGGACTTTGACCAGGAGCTTGTCGTGAAGCCTATCAAAGTGAAAAGGAAGAAGAAGAAGAAGAAGACAGGTACCCTCTGTAGCTAGCATACGCCCACCTGGGGTGACAGGCTTTCCCAATTCTCTGGGAATCCCACTGCTCACTGAGTGAGCACTGGCCCATTCATCCAAAAGAGAACACCTACATTTCTTCCCCAAAGGAGTTTTACGGCAAAATACTTCACATTAACGGAAAATACACACACACACATACACATACACACACACACACACACAAAGGTCTAAATGATGACAGACCACCTGTGTACGCACCACCCTGCTTAAAGGGTCTCGGTTTTGTACTTTTCAATGTTTGTTTATTATTATTTTATTTATTTAGTTATTTATTTTGACGACAGTTTCGCTCATCGCCCAGGCTGGAGTGCAATGGCACGATCTCGGCTCACCGCAACTTCACCTCCCGCGTTCAAGCAGTTCTCCTGCCTCAGCCTCCTGAGTAGCTGGGATTACAGGCGTGCGCCACCATGCCCAGCGAGTTTTGTATTTTTAGTAGAGACGGGGTTTATCCATCTTAGTCAGGCTAGTCTCGAACTCCCAACCTCAGGTGATCCACCCGCCTCAGCCTCTCAAAGCACTAGGATTACAGGCATGAGCCACTGTGCCTGGCGTACTTTTCGATATTTACATTAAAATGTCGGGGCTGGGCGCGGTGGCTCACACCTGTAATCCCAACACTTTAGGAGGCCCAGACGGGCGGATCACGAGGTCAAGAGATCGGGACCATCCTGGCCAACATGGTGAAACCCTGTCTCTACTGAAAACACACAAATTAGCTGGGTGTGGTGGCGCGTGCCTGTAATCCCAGCCACTCGGGAGGCTGAGGCAGGAGAATCACTTGAACCCGGGAGGCAGAGGATGCAGTGAGCCGAGATCGTGCCACTGCACTCCAGCCTGGCAAGAGCGAGACTCTGTCTCAAAAAAAAAAAAAAAAAACGGTTGGTTTATCCATGTATACCATTGATTAAACCAGAGATTCTGTGAGCCTGGGTGGAAAGTATTGGAAACCGGAAGATCTATGCTGGTAAATACATGGGACATTTTATGTTTAGTGTTGAATATGCTACCAAATACGGGATTTAACATTGAATTTTTTTCTTTTTTTTTTTCCAACTTTTAAATACAGGGGGTCCATGCGCAGGTTTGTTACATGGGTATATAGCAGCCAGGTAGTGAGTGCAGTATGCAGTAGGTGGTTTTTGACCCATGCCTCCTCCTCTCCCGCTCTGGTGGTTCACAGTGTCTGTCCTTCCCATGTTTATGTCCGTACCTGCTCAATGTTTGGCTCCCACTTACAAGTCAGAACATGCAGTTGATTTTCTGTTCCTGCATTAATTTGGTTAGGATTATGGCCTGCAGTTTCATCCATGTTGCTGTAAAGGACAAGATTTCATTCTTTATTTTTATTTATTTATTTATTTATTTATTTATTGAAGACAGAGTTTCACTGTTGTCGCCCAGGCTAGAGTGCAGTGGCGCGATCTCGACTCACTGCAACCTCCGCCTCCCAGGTTCAAGCAATTCTCTTGCCTCAGCCTCCCGAGTAGCTGTAGAGGTTTACCATGTTGGCCAGGCTGGTCTTGAACTCCTGACCTCAGGTGGCCCACCCGCCTCGGCCTCCCAAAGTGCTCAGATGGCTCACAAGCGAGAGCCACCGTGCCCAGCCTGGATGTCATTCTTTGTTATGGCTGTGTAACACTGAATTTTTTAAACCTTTTACTCCTTGGTTTCTGTTAATCCTCTCTAGCTAAGATGACTGCAGCACTGAAGGAAATTTTATTAGATTTCTAAGCATTTTAATAATTATAAGGAATTGGTTTGTGACCCAGGTGAACATCTCAGTTTGTCCCCTGGTTTTTCTTTTTTTGTTGTTTTTGAGACGGAGTCTCGTTCTGTCACCCAGGCTGGAGTGCAGTGATGCAATCTCGGCTCACTGCAAGCTCCGCCTCCCGGGTTCACACCATTCTCCTGCCTCAGCCTCCCGAGTAGCTGGGACTACAGGTGCCCACCACCGTGCCTGGCTAATTTTTTGTATTTTTAGTAGAGAGGGGATTTCACTGTGTTAGCCAGGGTGGTCTCGATCTCCTGACATTGTGATCCGCCAACCTCGGCCTCCCAAAGTGCTGAGATTACAGGCATGAGCCACTGCGCCCGGCCTGTCCCCTGGTTTTTCTTAGCTGGCATTTCTTGAGCAAGGCCTCAAACCCATGGGTTCGTTCAGTACTTGCATGCATAGAAAGCATCTCTTTGTTGGGATTATTTGTACTTAAGAGGTTTATTCTTCATTCACTAAATAAATGTTTATTTAAAATATTTTTTCTTGAGCCAAAAATATGTGTGCGAATTAGTCTCTTACTAATCATATAGAACCGTGCCTTATTTTGAATGTTCTTATTCTGAATTAGAAGGTGGAAGCAGGAGCACCTGTCACAGCTCCCTGGAATCTACACCCTGCTCCGAATTTCCTGGGGACAGTCCCCAGTCGTTGAACACAGATTTGCTGTCAATGACCTCAAGTGTCCTGGGCAGTAGCATGGATCAGTTAAGTGCAGAGTCTCCAGACCTGGAAAGCGGCTTCAGTGGTGAAGTGAACGGTGTCCCACAGGAAAATACTGACCCCGAAACGTTTAATGTCCTGGAGGTGCCAGGATCTGCGCCTGATTCTCTGGCTGTGGAAGATGACATTAGAACTGAAATGCCACACTGTCACCATGCATATGGGCAGGAGCTGCTCAATGGAGTGAGGAAAGATGTGAGAGGCAGTGATGTCACAGGACTCGAAGATGAGCCTTGTCCTGCAGACGATGGACCACATAGCACACAGATACCCTTCCAAGAACAGGACAGCTCTCCTGGGGTGCAGAATGGGGAAGATGTCCAACCCATTGGCCCCCAAAGCACTTTTTGTGAAGCGCCCCTCCTGAACTCACTCACCGTGCCTTCCAGCCTCAGCTTGGCCCCAAGTGCTGGGCAGTGGCTACCTGGGACCGGAGCTGATGAAGGCAGCCCCGTGGAGCCCAGCCAAGAGCAGGACATCCTAACCAGCATGGAGGCCTCTGGCCACCTCAGCACAAATCTCTGGCATGTTGGCACTGATGATGACACAGGTCAGAAAGAAACGCCCTTTTCTGAACGTGACTTGGGGAGTGTGGGAGGACAGTTGACTCCGGTCTCTGCCTTGGCGGCCAGCACTCCCAAGGCCTGGCTTGAGCAGCCTCCACGGGATCAGGCATTGACGTCCAGCGATGAGGAGGACATCTATGCCCACGGGCTTCCTTCTTCATCCTCAGAGGCAAGTGTGACAGAGCTCGGACCTAGTCGCTCCCAGCAGGACCTGAGCCGGCTGGGTGCAGATGATGCCGGGCTGCTCAAGCCAGATCAGGTACGTGGGTTCACGTGGTGGAAACGTAGCTAAGGCTTCTTTCTTGAGGGGAATAATTGGCAAGACTGATTATTTTCCTTCTCATAGAAAGAAATCTATTCCTACTGCACAATCCATAGGCCAACTCTGTTTTCAAGTCTGGGTTTCGGGGGGTTTCCAGCACAGGGACTGTGATGGCTTGAACTACTTCTGACCTGTTCTCCCCTGCTCAGTAACCTGCCTCCCCAACCGAGGCAGCGTCTTGCTGTTTCCTCTGACTCCACAAGTGCAGGCTGGCATAGGCACTTACTGTTAGCCATCATAGGGCAGGGCTGAATTGGCCTGGGGCCATCTCAGAAAAACAGTGGGTAGAGGACTGTCCACCCGTGGAGTAGAGAAAGCTCTGAGCAGTTTGGAGGCAGGGACTCTCCTGTCCTCCTCCTCAGACCCCTCCAAGGAACCATCTGCAAGAGCATGAGGCCATTTCCAGAACTGCTGTCTCCTCAACCTCCAAACAGTGGCGCCAAGGCTCTCCTGCAAGCTGTGCAGGAACAGTTTGGAGTAACCAGTCTTTGTAGGTCCACCCAGCACATGTAACTAGGAGATGACTTTTAACTATCCTTGAGCATTTTATATTAAAAGTGATTTTTTTAAAGTGCCTGCTTCCCTTAGCAACTAATTACTACTAGATGTATTTGTTTCAAAACTAACTGTGTATTGTCGTGTCTCCTACTAACTGGTGATGTGAGGTATGAATTATGGCTGTGCACTCACAGCCACATGTGCTTTCCACAGTGTACACTGGATTCTGTCAGTGCTAGCAGTGTGACGCGCGGTCAGTGCTCACCATGTGCAGGTATCCTGCGAAGCACTTTACAGGTTTAACTCTTTTACTTCTCTACACACGAACTATAAAATAGGCACTGTCCTTGTCCCCATTTTACAGAGGAGAAAGTTGAAGCACAGAACAGCTGGACAGCTCGCACAAGGTCACATAGCGAGTGAAGGGCTGGCCCCAGGACCCCCTTGCTCACCCCATGTGCTGTCATGCCTCAGAAGTGAAACGTGCTGTTTACTTGTTTTGAGACAAAATGCCATAAGGCTGGCTTTTTATTTATTTATTTTTTTGAGACAGGGTCTCACTGTGTCACCCAGGATGGAGCACGGTGGCATAATCATGGCTCATTGCCGCCTCAACCTCCCCAGGTTCCAGTGATCCACCTGCCTCAGCTTCCTGAATCACTGGGACTACCAGCACATGCCACCACGCCCAGCTAATTTTTGTGTTTTTTTGTAGAGAAGGGGTTTTGACATATTGCCCAAGCTGGTCTCCAACTCCTGAGCTCAAGCAATCTGCCTGCCTCGGCCTCCCAAAGTGCTGGGATTACAGGCGTGAGCTGCTGTGCCCGGCCAAGGGTGGCCTTTTATTCAGTCATCCGGTATTTATCTTTTCAACCCAGTGGTTCTTGAGTGGCCTTGACTGTCAGCCTCTGTGATTGTGCTGGGGACCACATTGCAAATGGCACTAGTTGTGAAGTCCATCTTCCTGAGCCTCAGAGTCTTGAGGGGGAGCCAGGTATATGTTCACATCCTTGCAGTTGAGTGGGACTCAGATGAGGGTACTGAGCAAAGGGCAGGGCTGTGAGAAGTGCAAGCAGCATGGCCCCCTGATGTCTGGGCAGTAGCCAGGCAGACTGTCGGTGGGGTGGGGAATTGGAATTCTAGACTAGAAATTTAGGAAAGCCCTTACTTAGGTGACAGGGGTCCTGGCCCTTTGAGCCCCCAACCCTCTAACTTCCTCCCTTCCTCATCCTACTCCAGGTAGCTGGAAAGCCAAGAAATTTTATGGTGTGTTTTTATTTGGAGGTTGGGGGTAGAAGTAAGGCTTGCCATGGTGAGCAGGGCTGGATTGAGAAGAGTTGGGCACCATTTTCTTTGAAGTAGTTAACTTCTATGTGAGTATCTGTACAGATACATGTATTTTCTTTGCCTTTATTGAAAGTGTTAAAGTACAAAGACTTTATTTAGCTTTGATTTTTAAAAGAATTCTAGTAAGGTCAGGCACGGTGGCTCATGCCTGTAATCCCAGCACTTTGGAAAGCCAAGGTGGGTGAATTACCTGAGGTCAGGAGTTCGAGACCAGCCTGGCCAATATGGCAAAACCCCATCTCTACTAAAAATGCAAAAATTAGCTGGGTGTGGTGGCGGACACCTGTAATCCCAAGTACTCGGGAGGCTGAGGCAGGAGAATTGCAAATTACTTGAACCCAGGAGGCGGAGGTTGCAGTGAGCCGAGATTATGCCCCTGTACTCCAGCCTGGGCAACAAAGCCAGACTCTGTCTCAAAAAAGAAAACAAAGAAAATATGGTGGAAAAAAAAGACAGTGGTAGTGCCATATATCCAGTGCATCTGTAATAATTCGACTACCAAAAATTTACTTGCATCCAAATGTTGAAGAACCTGGCTCTTTGTGTAAGGTGAGGTATGCCTGCAGAATAAAAGCAGCTCCTTCATGATGTGATGCTGTAAGCGTTACATTTGCAGGGGCGTTAGAACAGGAGAAAATGTCATCCAGGGACGCCAGGGAGTCTTTGTAGGGAGACAGCAGCATGCGTCTCAGAACATTTGTAGTAGAGGGGTGTCCAAAGGTAGTAGGGGTTGGGGGGAGGGTTGACCTGGCTTCTTGCTGATCTTTTTTTACTATCTCGTGTTAATGATATCCTTTCGCCTTTCTTACTGACAACAGTAAGCCGAGTGTGGCTGTGTCCTCTGCCACAGAACTCACTGGCTCTGCCCTTGTTAGTTTGCAGAAAGCTGGATGGGCTACTCGGGTCCCGGCTATGGCATCCTCAGCTTGGTGGTCTCGGAGAAGTATATCTGGTGCCTGGACTACAAAGGCGGCCTGTTCTGCAGTGCGCTGCCGGGCGCCGGGCTGCGCTGGCAGAAGTTTGAAGATGCTGTCCAGCAGGTGGCAGTCTCACCCTCAGGTTCGCCTCCCCGCTCCCTGCTCCTGCTCCCTGTTTCTGCTCCCTGCTCCTGCTCCCCGCCCCCGGGGGCAGACATCTTAGCACAGGGCTCCCCTGCAGCAGCTCTGGGCTCAGGCTGCGGTGCGTTCACCAGGTTTGCCTCTTCTGGAACGTTTAAGGGGGTTTTCTCCAAAGAACGTGAATTGCTTCATTGGATGTCAATTCATAGTGTAAATGGTGTTCAGTTTGAGTTTTTGTTTTCTTTATTAATTGCAATGGTAACCCCTGATCATATTTTTGTAAGCTAAACAAAAAGTTTGAAATTTGAGGGACTTTTTTAGGGATATTAATATACTAACTGTTTATAAAAATAATATGTGTTTCTCTTTCTTAGTGTTGCTTTAAAGCAGCCGAACTAAGACAGGCCCATGGGTATGTTGGATATATTCCAATTATTTGGCTTCCTCTTTAGGAATTCTATTTTAATGGGCTCTCTGCTATGGGTGAACAATCTACTCCCTGACTCTAAAAGGAAAGTCCATTCATTCTTTCATGCTGCTGTTAGGCCATTGTTAGTGAATTGGAGCTGGTGTTTCCTGAACAAGGTTCTCCTGGGCTGGAAGACCTCCCTTATCTGCATGGAATCATTGGCTTGTTGTTTCCTTTTTTTTTTTTTTTTTT